CTTAAAAAATGGAATTCATTTTAACTTATAACTGATTGTCTTAATTATGGTTACTATTGCTGTGATGAAATACCATGAACAAAAGTAACTTGTGAAGGGATGGTTGAGTTCATTAAGAGTTCATCATCAAAAGCAGTTAGGACAGGAACAGAAAGGGGGCAGGATGCAGAGGCCAAATTGGGGAGCTGCTTACTTGTTTGCTCCTATGGCTTGCTCAGCTTGCCTTCTTATAGAACCTAGGACCACCTGCCCAGGGACGGCACCACCACAATGGGCTACATACTCCCATATAAATCACTAACCACGAAAATGTATTGCAGGCTTGCCTACAGCCAAACTTATGTAGGCATTTTCTCAATTGAAGGTCCCTCCTCTTAGAGGACTCTAGCTTGTGTCAAATTGATATAAAACTAGGTGGGACACTAACTAAGCTGAACGTTAATAATTAGCACCCTGTCTTTTATTAGTTTGCAGTTGTTTGTTTACTCACAGAAATCTTACTGTAAATTTGGGGCTGGAGATATGGCTAAATGGTAAGGCTCTTGTGCAAGCTTGAGGTTCAGATTCCCAGCACCTACTATCATTCATACTTCTTGTAAGTGGGAATTAAAATGATAGAGGAATTGCACTTTCAGTCTTTTTTATCTCACTTATGTAACATTTTATATGAATGTACAGTGTTGTGGATTAAATACAGACCTAGTGCATACCAGGAAAAGCTAAGACTGAGCTCCTCTGCAGGCTGTTTAACATTTTATGAAAAGGAGAGCAGATTAGTGGCTGCTAGGTGACAGGTAAGGTGGTGTGGAGAATAAGGCAGGTGTGGTAAAAGGTACCATGATATATGTAAGGTAATTGTGTAATTTAGAAACCATTTTATGAATTTGAAATAATATACTTAGCTTGTCAACAGGCAATTCTGATGTGAGGTATGCCTCAAACGCAAGCTCCTGGCAGGGCACCTCATTCAGGACCCTACCATAGGACAGGCCTTGATAGTTTAATGAGCTAATCCCAAGGTGGTGCTAATATCCTAGTGAACCAGTGAGCCCCAAGAGCACAAAACTAAGCTGTGAGCTGTGAGAGCACAAAGCTACCACCCAATGAAATTATACAAAAACTGGCACTTTGGGATCATCTTGATCTTGAGCCATGACTTCTTGAGCTTCTGTGTTGATATCTGTTGGCAAGTGGATTTGAGACTGTGTGAGGCCTTAGTCTCAGTGACCACCGAACTTCCAGCACTGTTGCTGGGCCCACTTGTCAGCACTAGCAGTTGGTCTATGCTGTGAAGGACTTCCAGGATCTCCATCAGTGTCATCCTCCCAGCCTGCTACAGCCAAGGACTTCATGGTGGATGTGGGTGGAGCCTGCAAGCTTCTGAGGAGTCCTTGCAGGAGCACATTCCTCACTGGAACCCCTACTACAGCATTTCTCCCAAAACAACTAACTGCTCACCCCTTGGGGAGATATCTATTTAATTTTTATATTCAAGTGATAATATAAGGAATGTTTATGTGAACAAATTTAGCATATTCCAAAGACAAATCTTGTTTGGACATTCTATTGCTAAGTGCCTTACAGTTCATAGGCCATCCATGCTCTATGAAATGGATTCTTAGGCTGTTGTGTCTTGATGGTCATGGTAAGCATAGGAATCTACACAGATATAAGTGCTTAGAATGAAGTGTACATACACATAAACAAACATATGTAAGACCTGGAAATCTGAGAAAACATTGGTGGATTGTAGCAATTTCAATATTCTGGCTACAGCAACGTATGGCATTTTGGGGGACAACAGGCATTCTCTGTATTATTTCTTACACCTGTGAATGGATAAGAACAATCTTAAAAGCAAAAAAGCTTAATTAAAAAATGAAATTGCTGGGCATGGTAATATTAAGGTAACTTAAGAAATATAAAACAGGAAAATTACTATCGAGTCAAGAATTCACTCATTTTTGGAAAACATATAATTACTTAGAAATAAATATAATAAATATAACACACATATCTGTACTAGGGATTGAATCCAAGTAAAGACAGTGTTTCTTTTAAAAAATATTTTATACACAGAGACTGCAGACAATTTTTTTGTGCATATATCTGCTTCCCTGTACAGGAATGTATGGAGACAGGGATCAATGTCAGATGTTTTCCTCTGTTGCTTTCCATCTTATTTCCTGAGATAAAGTCTTTCATTGAACCTGGAGTTTATCCCCATTGGTTAGGCTGACTGGCAGTAAGCTACTGGTATCTACCTGGCTGACCTCCCGGAACTCATGTTATCAAGCCCTCTTTTATGCAGGTGCTGAAGAGCTGAACTAGGTTCTCATGTTTTCATAGCAAATGTTTCACTTCCTGAGCAATCTCTCCAGCACCCATCTCTCTAACCTGGAAGATCAATTTATATATTTTAATAGCTTCAAGCAGGAAAAAAACGTTCCTCAGTATGAAATTTTCTACTTGTGCCATCAGGTTGGCATTAAAAGCCTTTTGGATTTTAGACCATACAGAGTAGGGGGGGGGCAATAAATCTACTTTAAAAGGTTTAAAGATAAACTCAGTAGTAAGAAACTACCAGAAATGACTAGACAGATTTGAAAACAAACAATGTCCCGAATCAAAAATAAAAACTGAAGTCAACTCAAGAGATGTGTTAAGCAACAGAATATGTGGAGGTAAGAAACTACCAGAAATGACCAGACAGATTTGAAAACAAACAATGTCCCGAATCAAAATTAAAAACTGAAGTCAACTCAAGAGATGTGTTAAGCAACAGAATATATGGAGGTTAAGACAGACATTAAGGAGTTTCACAACCTAACACAGATGAGATAGCTTATAGAATTAACAGAAGGAAGCTAAAGGGAAAAGGATAACATATATATATATATATATATATATATATATATATATATATAAAACTTCACAATAGCTATAACAAACAATAAGAATATTATTTTCTATAACTGATAGAAGATTCATTTATAGTCTTAAGAAACCAAATCCCAAGTGAATACACAGAAAAAAAATTAAGGCTTAGAATGTATCCTAGAAACTGACAAACAATTTACATTAAGCATTTTGTAAATAGAAATTCCTGAAGAAAAACTAGACCATGAACTGGAGAAAGTACCTGCAACAAAGGATTGATATATATTATTAGGAAAAGACAGGTCAATAGAAGCATGGCCAAGACAACAAAAAGGCAGTTCAAAAGGAAACCACATGTTTAATTAGCACATGAATATTCTGAACCTTATTAAAACTCAAGAGAATTAAAAATATCAAAGAGACAGCATCCACAGCCTCTAAATTAGCAAAAATCAAAAACTTTAGTAACACCAAATGTGAGTACATTAGTACGGACTTTGTCATAAAAATGTCCATTCAGGACTCTAAGGAGAGGCATCCACTGAAACAGAAACAGGCATGAAAACCAGATGGCAGCAGGCTAAAAGGTCCCTACAGGGCAAGAATGAGGACAAGAGTGGACTACCACTTCAAGTTTACCTAAAAGGTGGAGTAATATGGCTCAATTTTAAGGGACCATCTCCAGAAACACTTAAGTATTTTTTGTTTTGTTTTTTCCATTTTATTTTTTATATTGAAACAAAGGAAATCAGGAACAAGCTAGAAACAAAAGGCAAGAATGAACATAAAAACACAGGAAGGAAAAGATGTACACAGTAATAGGTGTGTGAATAAGGACCTGCTTAGAGGGTGAACAAAGGGCCCTGTTTCAGTTCAGAGACATTGCTTCTTTGTTCATGTACTAGTTTCTCTCTGGCTCTACTCTCAGGAACTAGCTTCTCTTTTAGACTTGCCTCTGGACTTTCACACTTGTATTCTGTCTAAAGATATATTCTTCCCCAAACATACATGAAGTACTGGCTTCAATTGTCAATGAGGTAACCTCTGAACAAAGGAAAATGAAACCCCCTCTACACTGTTGTGATATTCTGGTCCTTCTATTCCCTTTCCTAGCTTACCGTCGAAGCGAAGCAATCTACTCCAATTAGTTCTATGAAAGGTTTTTTTTTTTTTTTTTTTTTTTTTTTTTTTTTCAGTACCTAGAAATAATCACATGTGGCATGAATGATTATCAGGATTTGGTCGAGGAAGTTAAAAGAGCAAGCATAGTGAAAACAATACTCTTAAGGTTTTTACAAAGATGAAGTACAGTCATCTTATGGCTTGCAGAAGATGTGACAATTCAGATCTGAAATCACAAGGAGTTAGGCTACTATGAAGGTGTGTGTAGGGGGGGATGAAAATGACACCCATGCATATTTGAGAAATGAGGTACATGTAGAGAAGGGAAGGGATGACTTGGTTCAGATAGCTGCTGAAAATGTCCACAATACAGGACACATCATGCTCTGATAGTTTTTTAGAGCCTCACAGAAGTAGTCATTTCTTGCAACAAAGATATGAATATAAAATCCAAAATATAGTTTACATAAAACCACTACCCCTAGCCACTTTATCAACTCCAAATGCATGAACAAAGTTAGACCTGTTTTCCCTTCAGCGGCAAAGTATATACATCTCAAACTGGGAACATTGTTAGTTAAACTTCTCAACTTTCAGGACGACAAAAGAACGACTGAAAATTCTTATTGCTTGGGAAAGAAAAGTATGGAAAACGAAAGTCAAACAGTCAAATTCAAGTTTTGAGTAGCAGACACTGAAAAGCTGTCATAATTAACCTGCACTTTTGGTTATGTTTTCTATTAGTCCACCTCCCCATCTCTGGGACACCCATTTGCGTTTCACCCCACCTCAAAGGCTCATCTATCCAGGTACACAGAACACCTGGGCGGAGTGTGCAGCCTACTCAGGAACGGGTAGTAGTCAGTCCCGAGGCACTTAAGCATGACAGGCAGGGGACATTAAGGTGCCTGGGGTTCCCCAGGGCGGGCCAGAGGTCAAGGCTCAGGTCTAAAGCCAGGGAGCGGGGCGGGCCTCAAGAACGGAGGGCGGAGACTTACAGTAGTAGGCCACCACGGGGTCCCGCTTGTCATGCTCCTGAGCCGTTCTCAAATGATGCTGTATGCTCTTAAACTGCGCGGGCAGCGGCGGCAGCGGGGCCAGTGCGGCCATTTCCACTTCCCGAAGTGCCACTTCCTACTAGCCAGGTACTAACACTTCCGCTTCCTCCTTCGAGCGGGGCAAATCCCACCCACTCTTTCCTTGCTCAGAAGCTTGTCGGCTGGTCGGTGACAGACGGATGCCCGGAAGAGACAAACTAAGCTGTTACAACGCAGTGACAAGTGAGTTTTCTGTGTTGTTCATGGCACCAGCGCTCTCTGCTGGTAACAGAATCCTTTTTATTTAACTATTTAATTAATTAATTAATGTATTTATTTGTTTATTTATTTTTTATTGGAACAAAAGGAAGAAGAAAGAGAAAAATAAGAAAGTAAAGTTCACAACTCCGGGAGTCCATTCCTCACAAAGGGATATTCCTTAGCCAAGAGACACTGGGGAGAGTCCAGGCCCTACCCCAAATGATTTGACAGATTTTGATGATCTCTCATAAAAGGCCTCACCCTCCCTGGGGAGCAGATAGGGTTGGGATCGGGGAGGTCTGTCGGGGGAATGGAGGATGGGAGGGAGAGGGAACTCGGAATGAAACGTAAAATATTAAAAAAATATTTTTAAACATTACAGTTCATTGACAAGGAGAAAGGAAAAGGCATAATATAACTTCCAGTTTCCCAATCTTAGTTTTGTATATATTAACTACCCCATCTCTCATTTTGTGTGTGTGTTTTAGGGTGGGGTGTCTCACTAGGTTGCCAAAGCAGGCTTTGAACTTGATATCCATTACGTAGAGCTCTTGGTTAGTAGACATTACAGCCATATGCTTATTGATAGCTCATAGAGCTTTTTTTTTTTTTTTCGGGGAGTGGGGGGCCAGGTTCATTAATTTTAATAGAACAAATGATCACAAAATAAAATTTTATAAGCAGTCACCAAAAGTACCCATTGCAGCCTTTTAGAAATGATAGGGAGATACAGAAAAGATGTGTGTGAATGAAGTTGGAACTGGAAACATTCACTGCTTTTGGTTTAGAGGCTTTAAATGCTTGCATGAGAAACACTATGTTTAAATCTTAAAATTAAAATTTGCATGGTTGTATATTGGACTAAATAGCCAGCCCTTTTCAAACTTGAAAGCTGAACACATGGAAATTAATGAAAATCGAATACGTTCTCTGATCTAGGTAGTGTATACTTTTGTGAAATAATACTAAGTTTATTAATCACAGAAGATGCTGAGTGTTTGAGAAATGTTATCCTATTTTAGTACTTGTCAAGACAGAGTCCTGAAGATTTATTCAACGCTTTTGATTCAGGTCATTTTACAGTATGCCTCAACTTTTCTTTCTACCAGTGATGATGATGATGATGGTGATGATTTGTGCCTCCTCTCCATTCCAAAGCAGCATCTTAAGGAATTACATTTCATTTTAGTAACCTCCATCCCCCCTATTCCCAGGTCTTAGCTTTGAGGCTGCATCTTAAAACTGTTTTTTACTGAAATCCAAGTACTGCCAAGAACTAAAATCTGAAGCTATGAAATTTCTATACCTAAAATTATGTGATCACTCTCCTCCCAGTGTCCTTGTAGTAGATCTCGCTAGATATTGTGTCTGTGTGTTTTCTAGATTTTGTGCTTTTATTTATTTTTATATAATTTAGTAAATTTAAAGTTAGTATATAAAATAATGGTCTTAGGGGTTTGCTATGGCATTTTCACACACACACACACACACACACATATGAATTATATATAAAGGACATAATGATATGTATGTAATAAAGCAATGCTTGACTTTGACAAAAGCGTTTTCTGTATCTATTGAGATGATCTTGTGATTTCTGTCCTAAGTATGGCATATAACTTTTATTGATTTACATATGTTGAACCAACCTTCTTATTTGGGATAAAATTATCTTGGCTGTGGTTTATGATTTTAATGTGTTAAAAAGTATTTTTACTAGAATTTTTGTATCTATGTTCATTGCCAATATTGGTATGTAGTGTTCATTTGCCTTATCTGGTACCAGGTAACACTGCTGTCACAGAATGAGTTTGGTAGTGTTGCTTCCCTTTATAAACATGGACCAATCTGTGCATGCATATTTCTCTCTCTCTCTCTCTCTCTCTCTCTCTCTCTCTCTCTCTCTCTCTCTCCCTCCCTCTCTCTCTCTCTCTCTCTGTGTGTGTGTGTGTGTGTGTGTGTGTGTGTGTGATTGCCCACAGTTGTGAGAAGAGTTCCTCTGGATCCTCTGGAATTAGAGGTTCAATGCCTGAAGCCTGTGCTTGGTGATAACTACACTCAGCTCTTTTGGAAGAACAGTGTACCTGTTCCTAACCACTGAGTGATCTTTGCAAAGCTTGGATTTTATTCGTTAATCCAGACAGCTAGTATCACCTTTGAAATGATGAGGTGAGGCCATTTGTGTTTCAGTTCGTTAGTGAGGATTTGCTAATGTCTATGTATTTGCTTGTTGCTCTTCTGGTTAGTTAGTTTTTTTTTTTTTTTTTTAATTTTATTTTCTTCTTCCCCTATTAGGAATAGGGGTTTGTTTGTTTTTGGCCTAGAGTATTTAAATAGTGAAACTTTTGCTTTCATTCTATTGTGTGTTTTGTATTTTCATATAATACTTAGATGTCACTTGTAGGTATTTTCAAAACTTTGCTGAGATTATACTGAATTTATAGATCTATTTGAAGTATCAGAAGTTCTAAGTGATTAAGGCTACCAACACAGATATGGCCATGTCATGCTTTATTTTTATAATTTAATTTCTTTCAGGAATGCCACATAATTTTTATTGTACATGTCTAGCAAATATGGTGTGAATTTTCATGTGCTTCCTGATTTTTAGCCTATTGTAAATGGCAATACTTTTATAAATTTAAGTATTTTATTGTTTTAAAGCCATTGTGTGTGGTTTTTTTTTGGGGGGGGATGCATTTCATTATTCCTTAGGGTTTTTTATATTTTCAAAATTTCTATGTGTACTATTGTATGAGAGGAGATGATATTTATTCTTTTACAATCTACATATCCTATCCTTTACTTGGATTAGTGAATTCACTGAATAGATCATTCAGCATATATACATTTTGTTGTTGTTGTTGTTGTCATTTTGCTTTTAATGAACTACACTTCAAATTAAGCCAAAGTAACAAAAGTGGAAATGCTTCTGTTGGTCCAGATCATGGGGAAAATTGTTCATTCATTTCAATATAATGGGGTGTTTTCCAATATTCCTTTATATGTTTAATTTTTCATCAAATTTACATAATTCTCTTACTAAGTGAAGAGTTTGGTTTTGTTTTTCATTAGAAATGACTATTAAATTTAAAACCAAATACTTTTATTTGCATATGTGAAGATGGCTATGTGATTTCTTTTAATACAGTTCAATTACATTGTTTTTAAGTGTTAAACAAACAAACAAACAAATAAAAAACAAACCTGTCCTTTCCAGGATAAACCCAACCTGGGCATGTTCTATTTGGGTGTACGTAGCTGGATTGCATTTGCTAATACAATTTTCTAGGCAGTTTCAATAACAAAATTATGCTATGCTACTCTCTTTAAACACAATGGAAAATATTTTCTGCTTTTTCTGACACTATCTTGCTCAGGAGGCTGGGAGCTTCTTCTTCTTCATTTTTTTTCCTAAAGAGATTTTATAATGTTTTCTCTTCCTTAAACATTTAGTGGATTTGACCAGAGAGGCCATCTGGAGTTTTCTGCATGAAAAGCATTTGAATTTTAATGTATTTAATAGATTTAAGAATATTTATACTTTCTGTGTATTTTATCAGTTTCTCTTGTTTTAGTAATATGGGTTTCAAAGAATTTCTTCATTCCATCAAATTTATTGTTATATATCCTTGTATCCATGTGCTCTTGTTAATGTCCTATAATTTTTCATTTATTCAGTGTAATTTTTTTTGCTCTTTATCATCTAAAACTATGTAACTAAAATCTTATTACTTTTACTAAGCTTTGAAATCATCACCATTTGTCTAACTTTCATTTTCATATTTGTTTCATTATTATCATTCCTATCCTATTTAATGATTTTTAGCTAGTTGTTTTGCTTATTTCGTAAAGTATGAAGGTAAATACATTTATAATTTTAATGAGATAATACAGAACTTCTGTAGGCAGCCAAACATTGTTTTAATTCTTTCAACAAATTACAATAAGTTGTTTTCATTATCATTTGGTATATACTGCTTTTTAATTTCTGATGCCAGTTCTTCCTCAATTTATGGATATAAATTCATCAGTGACTTTTCAAATGCTTAGATATTTGCTCAACATCTTAATATTTTACTTTATTTATAATTTATTTCTATTATAACAAGTCACTACTCTCCTCACATATCACTGGATCTCCCAACAGTGTGTGATCTTCTTTGAGAACCGAGGTTTTTTGTTTTTAAATTTAACCTAGCAATGTAGTACATATTAAATAATAGGCACTCAGAAGCTATTTGTGAGTGAAATTAAGTTGGATTTTCTTCTGTGCTTTTATGTGGAACAAGATCAATGATTTAAAATCATAATATGTAATTTATAACATCAAATATAGGCTTACAAGTACTTAATAAAATTCCATAATTTCAGTTTTTGAGTGATTATTTATGGTTTCCTACTAAAACATCAGCATAAAAAAGTAGGACATAACTATTTTTAAATGACATAATTGAGGGTGATTTTTGAAAATACAGGCAAATAGAAAGAAGTGCACTAATTTTATAAAATTATTTATGGGATAATTTTAAATACTGAGAAACTGTAGCTTAATGTAAACAAAATTTTCCATTCAATAATTTTAAATACAGAATTTATTCAAAAGCAGGTTATGTATAGGCACAACAAAAAATAAGGAAGCCATGCACAATGTTATTCATAGCAACTCTAATTTATTTCTTAACTATCTCTATGATCATTTAATATTTAAGTTTTGGAAAACAATATAGGTTTAATAGTAAATATGCAATTGCTCATATTCTCTGAATTAGTGATAAAACTACATAATGACTTAATTAATTTTTATTTTGTGTTTAAAGTTATATTTTACACAAATGCAAAGAT